ACTGTAATCAAAGAATCATAATATTATTCTAATTTCTATAATTGAAAATTACCTTACCTTTCAAAGCGAACCGGGCAATAATCCATTTCCAACTTATCTTGACTTTCGGATGCACTTAAAACAAAATCTAAAGAAAACACCTAAACTGCAAGTTATCACTCTCACTGCTACATCTAAAATGCACGACTTCATGTGACGTGCGCATTTCCAGGCGCTCATGACCTTGCAAGTTTCAACAGGAATTGACCGTCCTAAATGTAGTACATTAGGCATATCTGGGTTAAGTGTNCGATCAACGGAATTGACGTAAAAAAGTTATCAAAAAAGAGATGAAATTTTTTATCTGGCCATTCCTTACGTAAAGCTTGCGCATATTCTAAGACTACTCCAGCACCAACTCCCAATTCAGAAAAGTTTTCACTTATATTTGTAGAGGCTCCTTGATAAGGTTCGAACCAATTCAAGTAACCTAACCTGGTACTTCCTACCCATAACTTATATCCATAGCGCATGGGTTTTCCTCGAATATACTGCTTACAGCTATGACGTCCATAATACGGAACCATAGCTTCATCAACTGAGTGCATTTCTTCAAGCGAGGAATTCTCCATGAATTTTTTATTCAACAGTGTGAAAAGCGGCCTTAGTTTAGCGAATTTGTCACCCTGGTCCAACTGCTGATTATCACAGACGTGAAGATTAGAAAACAAATAGTCAAACCGGTCCCTTGTAATTGCTTCTGTAATCATGACGTTATGGCAATCTTTTTCACGTTCCCAGAACATCCTCCGTCTCGGTACTTGCATATATCCACTAAGTATCAAAACGCCTATAAAAGCGTTTACTTCCTGCTTTTCTATATTCGCTTTTCTATTTTTTTGTTGTGCGTACTTATTACTCTGATTCAAAATCAATTCTATTACTTCTTCGTCAACAAATTTTGAGAAAAGCTCTAAGGGGTTTTCTGTGATCGCTGAATTCGTAGGACTATCAAAGTCGGTGGGCGGTAACCGGGCAATAATCCATTTCCAACTTATCTTGACTTTCGGAAGCACTTAAAACAAAATCTAAGGAAAACACCTAAACTGCAAGTTATCACTCTCACTGGTACATCTAAAATGCACGACTTCATGTGATGTGCGCATTTCCAGGCGCTCATGACCTTGCAAGTTTCAACAGGAATTGACCGTCCTAAATGTAGTACATTAGGCATATCTGGGTTAAAAAGTAAAATCTTGTTGTTTAACTTGTTCAATAGTGTAAAAATCGACGTATGTACAGGGTGTCCATATTTCGATGGGTTTGCAAGGTGTCTCAGTTATTATGAAAAATAGAAAGTTGCGGCTTTCACGAACCTGAGCTACTTTTTTGTGAAACTTACAATGGTGCAAACCAAATTTTCATANGTAAAAATTGGGGTTTTTAATTAATTTTTTCCTTTACACTTTTTTTATATATTTCGAAAATCTATCATAGAACCTATTGCTGGCGGTAAGTTGAATTGTATAATATACAGAAAGCAACAATTCGGTTATTAGTATTTTTGTAATGTTGTTTGATTACATCATATCTTGAAATTGAGAAAATAATTTATTTTACGATATTAAGATGGGCAAAAAATAAATTGTTTAACATTGTTCAAAAGTAATATTGTATACGTGTTGTAGTATAAGGCCTACTATTGTAGATTTTACTAGAAATTCTTGCGGTATTTTGCGGTTTTACCTTAAAATAAATTTTTAATATAGTGTGTGTATAAAATTCGGAAAAAAATCATAATTCTGCTATGTGCTGTTTGTTTTGGGAGCGCATTTGCAATTAGAAAATAAACATAAAGGGACACTTTTTCACTATTAAATTGATAATATAGGTGTCCACAAAAAAGTTTCTAACAAAATTACAATTTATTTTCTGAAACGCTAATTAATTTTAGTATGAGATGTTAGCGTTCTAAAGTTAATAATTTTCTAGAAAGAACTTAAAAAATTGAATTGACACACTAAGTTTTCGGTAAAATATTAAAAGTTGTTATTGTGTCAATTCAATTTATTATTTGCAAGATTTTTTCCTTGAAAATTATTAACCATACGTCTTATACAGACCAACAGTGAATTCCTTACATTAAATTATTACGATTTAACCCAATATATCTTAGTCCATTTGTTAATAATAACGAAGATACAGATGGGTAAAGTTTATACTTTATTTTCATTTTTCTTTAATAATTTTCACTGTCAATTAGCATTAATACTCTAGTATTAATGCCAATTGACGGTGTTAGTCTAGTGTTTCACGAAATAAAATCATTTTTAACGCCAACTAATATTTACTGAGCATAATTAAATTTTGCAAAGTGCCTTTAAACAGTGATTATCTTGGAAACGGAGAACTTTAGAGTAGCTTGGTAGGTATATCAAATTTATGTAAAAATGTCTGAGAAACTGTTTCAAGTTGTGTGAGTTGCAAAAATTTTAACGATGAAAAGGATATGTCTACTTTAAAGGAGTTTTTTAAGGCAGGCAGTGCCATCTGAAAGATAAATCAAAACTAATACCAAATTATCACTTATCGTCTTAAAAAATGGTAATGTACCAATTTTCATGGTCACAATGCAAGAGAAAACGAAATATTTAAAGAAAAGCGAAAATAAAGTATTAACTTTAATCATCAGTATTTTCGTTATTATTAACAATTGGACTAACATAAATTGGATTAAATCGTAACAATTTAATGTAAGGAATTCACAGTTCCTCTGTGTCCCAGTAGTAACGGACCACCCTATATATAAAAGTATGGGTAGGTACAATTAAATAAAATCGCAGTATATCATAAAATAGTTCATCCTTGTTAATTGTATAGATATTTTTTAATTTCCACCAATTTTGAAGTAAAAAATTGACAAAAATATCTTTTGGCCAAGATTTTTAACTAATTCGCTTCTGTGCGACGTTTCGTTTTCGTGAAACTATCATCAGGTTTATTTTTTCTTATGAACGCCATATTTGATTTTCACACCAAAAAATAGGATAATTAATTCTGATTTCAATGATATGTTACACAATGTATTTCATTTAGAAAAACATTGAATTATTCAAAAAAAAGAAAATAATGGAGTGATAGGCAAAAAACAAAAAAGTCATTTTTTTGTTTTTCGGCCATATTTTAAAAGCTAAAACGGCTAGATAGAAAAACTTAGTCGAAAAATGATAACCTCTAAGATACGCAACTTTGCCCTCATTTAACCATTTCTGTATCTCTTATGGTTTCTGAGATCCCAATGGTGGTGGTCGAATTTGAATTACCCTGTATAGGGAGTGTTTCAAAATTTACGATTTTCAGACACCTCCTGTATCTCGGCTATCCGGAAATTTAGTAAAAATAGATTTTTCACGTGGAATCAATCCAATGGTGCACGTAGAATTTTTCTAGTCATCACGGTTTTTGAGTTAATACATTTCTTGTATTTTTAATAAACAAACTTTACTTGCTCAAAAATCGTCAAGTATGTTCAAAACTTTTCAACGGCAGTATATTCTACTTAAAAAAGTGTTTTAAGAACGTATCAACCCCATTTCTCTAATTTCAAAAATAAATGAAATTTTTTGAAATCACGAAAATTTGACTTTTTGGCTATAACTTAAAAACAAAAAAAGATAGAGGTTTGGTGTTTGCGGGATTGGATTAGTCTCGAAAAAAGAGACCTTGACCTGGCACCTACTTTTTTCGTATCTCTTATAGTTTCTGAGATAGCTTATAATAACACCCTGTACAAAGGGTTCCATAAAAAAATTATCTCGAAAAAGGGTTCCGCGCAATGACAAAGGTTGAAGAACAACTGCTCTAGGACAAAGTCTTCTTGAAAAAAAATATCAATTGATTTTTTACCCAGCAAATATCGTCCTGTGCACTCAATTATAGAAGGATTTGGTCCACAATCAAAAATGCTTTCTTACGTTCTCAAAATAAATAAAAGCGTGGTTCTTTCCAGTACTTCATGATAGAGCAACCACTATAGATCCAGAAACAAAAAAACCAGAAGAAATATTATTCTATAATAGTACCAAAGGAGGAATTGATATACTGGACAAGTTAAGAAGTGCATATTTAGTGCCAAGAGGAACAAGGAGGTGGCCAATGATAATATTCTATCACATGCTAAATATAAGTGTACAAGAAAATGACAGTTTGTGACTGTTTAGTTCCTAAAGAAATTTAAATTAACTATTCAAAGTTTTTATTCTTTGGTACAAAACCAACTTATCCTGAATAATGGTACAAAACCAACTTTATTCTGTCATATTGGTGCAAAACCATATATTCTAGCCATTATAATCAAAATTTTGAACATTAGCGCTTACTATTTTGGAGAAAGCTAAAAATATGCTCTTTTCAGTAATATCATAATCAAGTATGGTTTGTATTTAAAAAAACACATCTTTGTGTTGTATCTCAAAAATCATCAAGTATATTTAAAGCTTTTCAACGGCAGTATATTCTACTTAAAAAAAGTGTTTTAAGAACGTATCAAGACCATTTCTCTAATTTCAAAAAGAAATGAAATTTTTCGAAACCACGAAAATTTGCTTTTTTGGCTATAACTTAAGAATTTGCCCACCCTGTACATATTAAGTTATAAACACACACCAATAAGAAGATTATGAAACGTCAGCGAACTATATTTATAGTTAAAGTAATTAATTTTGACGTCATTCTGATTCGAGTTGATTGCTTAATTACTGTGAGAGTGTGATGGTACTCGTTTTCAACAACGATTCAACATTGATGAAATTTATATATACTATATATAGTTTTTAAAGATTAAGTTTTAATGATGCCTTGTTACGCTACAAATAGAATAATTTTCTTTGTTTTGGAACAGAAAAATTTTTAATGAAAGAAAATAAACACATCTGTATTGTTAAACTTGTAAAAACAAACTTCGAATTAACGTTTATTCAGATTTTTTCACCTTTCTATAACAATCTTTGTATTATTTTCAGTTTGTGCGTACGAATGTTGGATTGGTTCGATTACCATGGACACATGTGCATTGCTTTCGAAATGCTTGGGTTGAGCGTCTTTGATTTTTTGGTAATTTAAAATCATCACTTATTTAAACTAAAAAAATAATTTTGTCCACGACTACCTTATAATATATACCGACAGATTCTTTTTTTCTTATGATTTAAGCATAAATTAATTAATTTTCATAAAGAAAACGACGTTTCATAAAATTGACATTTAATTTTGACAAATTGTTGTGAAGTTGGTTACAGTTGGTAACATTGAATTTGTGTCACATTGACGTTTAACCTTTATTCAAAAATTTATTTAAAAAATTAATTTATGGAATCAATTTCAATAGTCGTGGACAAAGTATAGTATTCTACTCGCATATAATGA